AAAAAAAAAAAAAAAGCACCAAAAACTCACTCACCATGGTGTGGGGCAGGTGGTAGGGAGGCTGGGCTAACAGTGTACCTGAGAAAGTCTTAGGAGTTTTTGTTGACCATAAATTTTATCTGAATTGATAGTGAGGTGTGGCCTTCAAAAAAATAACTAATGACTTCAGATTGCATTTGCAGTAAAACTGGTGCTAATTTAGAAAAGCCAGAATGTCATGTGAGGACTATTGCACAGTTTTTCAGCTATGAAATAGATGGATTGATAAACATGACAGCAGCCTTCAAACATTGGAAGGACTGGCTTTTGAAAGAGAGATTAGACATCTTTGGTTTGTTTGTTTTGTTTTTGGTTGTATGTTTTTGTTTTAGGCCCTGATGGATGAAACTGAACCATTGGTTGAGTCCCTGCTTTACCAAAGTACTATGCTGTGGGCACAGTGAGTGGTAAAGAGGTGATATGGGTAGATGTGACTTCAAAGGAATTTATACTTTGGTTAGGGAGATAGTGGAAAGCTGCTTTCAGAGAAGAGAAATCCCATGATTAGAGAATCAAGAGTTTTTGGAAGAAACTACCTTTGAGGTGGGTCTTTTGGGATAAGTATTATTTCTTTGTCTTCTGTAAGTTATTTACCTTTTGTCTTCTTAATATGGAAATACTTCATACTCATTATAGAAAATTTACAAAAACAGCATTTCCTTGCTGCAGGCCTTTTCTCACCCTTTTCTCACTCCCCAGAGGTTAACGACTCTCAGCTCTTCTCTCTTTCTCTTGTTATTTAAGATCACATTTTGAAATAACTTGCCCTCCTCCTGTTTTTTGATGTTTCAGTTTTAGATATTATTTATGGATTTACTACTAAGAAATGTAAAGATGTGGCTTTTGTTCTACTCTCTCCCAACACCCGTATTTGTGTCCCTTCATCCTCCCAATGTAGTTTTATCACAATGTATGTTGAAATCCCTATCTAGTATTTTCATTATTGCTACATAAATATTGTCGTATATTTACTTACATAATCTTTTTCTGAAGTTAATTATTTTTTTAGTTGCTTAGCTTTCAGCAAATCTAGCTAAGTCTTTTTACGTTCTTCAGCAGCTTCTCAATCCAATTTTCTTTTTCTTTTTTTAAATTTTGAGACAGAATCTCACTCTGTTGCCCAGGCTGGAGTGCAGTGGTGCACTCAAGCAGTTTTCCCACCTCAGCCTCCCGAGTAGCTGGGATTACAGCTTTGGGCCCCCATGCCTGACTATCAATCTGATATTTTACACATAGTCAAATCTCTCAAATCTGTAGTTTC